TATACAAAAGAGCATCAAAATTCTGAGGGAAAATGACTTCCAATATAGAATTCTATGACCAAAGTGTACCTCCTATGTGCTTCTGTCAAGGAGCACTACACCAAAACATGGTCGTCAACCACAAGAAAACAAGCAATGAAGAAAAAAAGGGTTTCAACCTAAGAGAGAGGAAATGTACATCCTCATTTGAGGATAAAGTGAGATCCAGGATGAAAACAGTGACTATAGACCAGAGCAGGTCAGATGATTCTGGGAGAGATAACCTCCAAGGTTCGATCAATCATGACATGTATCTAAGAGATGCATACAGCTGGGGAAAAGTCTGAGGTCAAATAATTTAAACACACTGAAAATAGGCTGGGCACAGTGGTTCACACCTATAATCCCAGCACTTTGGGAGGCCAAGGCAGGTGGATCACTTGAGGCCAGGAGTTATGAGACCAGCCTGGCCAATATGGCAAAATCTCATCTCTACTAAAATACAAAAATTAGCTGGGTGTGGTGGCATATGCCTGTAATCCCAGCTACTCAGGAGGCTAAGGCAAGCGAATCCCTTGAACCCGGAAGGCCAAAGTCGCATTGAGCTTGCACCACTGCACTCCAGCCTGGGCAACAGAGCAAGATTCTGTCAAAAAAAGAAAAGAAAAGAAAGTAAACCAATGAACACAAAATTTTGTGCATGAAAGGAAAAGTCTTTGTATATTTGTTACAAGGCTGACCTATGAAGAGCATTACACAAATAAAGAACTAATATTTAAGTGCTTACTATAGCTTTACAGATATAAACTTATACAAATAGTCACAATAATGTTCATTTACCATAATTATTTAGTATTATGGAAAGCTATGGGGACATCAATGAGTGTATGTGATTTTGGTGGGGGTGGGGATGAGGGCCAGTTGAAATCAAGGGATGATTGCTAAATCTTCATCTTCCACAGTTAGAAGACAGTGTCTAAAACAAACAAATAAAATCAAGAATACACTATATGTATGTTAATTAGAAATGTGGCAATAAATACCAAAAGAAATACTGTCTCCAAAGGGTGGAAATGGGACTGGTAGTATTTTTCTTAAGCACACAGAGAAATATGTACATACAGAATTATGAATTAAAAAATTTGAAAATCATACAATTAATTAACCCTGGGAACTAGGGGAATGGGTGAATATTGATTTATTCCACTTTTCAGAGAAGTGAATCTAAAATTAAAATGTCCTTAAAAATTTACTCCAACTTCAATGTTTTATACAATGTTTTTCTTAAACTTAAAACAGGCTTTCTTAACCATGGTATTATTGATATTTTGGGCTGAATAATTATTTGTTGTTGGGGGCTATCCTATACATTGTAGATTTAGCAGCATCCCTGTCCTCTACCAACTAACTAGATGCTAGTGGCACCCCTCACCCCAGGTTGTGACAATGAAAAATGTCTGCAGATATTGCCAAATGCCCACTGGGGAGCCAAACTGTGTCCAGTTGAGAATCACTGCTATAGAAACATCTCCTTAGAAGAATCTTTTTAGGAAACTCTTCTGACAAATGTTAACATTCAAGAATTACTTTTTTTCTTTTGTTAAATTCAAGAAAAATTAATTTCAATGCTTTGCTTAAAAATGTCTAAAATGTTGCCATTCCTAAGAATGTACTTTTGTCTATTCATCCACCCACGTGTATACAAATACACAATGCACCCATGCATTGTGAGAGAAGGAAGATTTTGAGGGGACATTTTTATTTAACTTCTACTCTGCATTGCTTGACCATTCATAGCAACTATAAATTATTTCTATAAAACAAGTCACTGTATTAACAAAAATTTAGGAGAGGTTGGCAAAAAATACGCACTTAGTAATCACTAGTTCTTAACGACTTAACTACATTAAATATCTTGATAGGTATTGTATATAAGGTTCAGTCATTCAAAAAAAAAATCAATTCTGTCTACTCACTAATATCAATGTTGAGACTGGGATGGGGAAAAGCATGTAAGTAGGTATTAGTGATTGGTAATGTTGTAGTTATAGGATTAGTTGGTATGATGTTTATAATGTTTGAAGTAATTACCAATCGAAAAAAGAAACCACCATGCATGAATAAAAAATTATACTGCCATGAACCAAGGATTATAATCAATCTAATTCTAGGCCTCTTAGCTGCAAACAAAAAGTGAACAGTTTAACACTCCAATTTCTGCTCAGTGCTATTACACATAATTTATCTCTTTTTAGTTTAGCCATTTTCTACAATTATTTTACAAATAAGGAAAAATCTTACTAAATTTGATGAAGCCTGCAGAAACTTGTACTAACAACGAATGAGGCTGGTTTGTTTTTAATTCTGGCTTACCTGATCTAATTTAATGATTTGAATCTTACTTTTTTTTTTTGGTCTGTTTTTTGTTTTGTTTCGTTTTGGACACAGTGTCTCACTCTGCCGCCCAGGCTGCAGAGAAGTGGCGCCATCTTGGCTCACTGCAGCCTGTGCCTCCTGGGCTTAAGCGATTCTCCTGCCTCAGCCACCGGAGTAGCTGGGATTACAGTTGTGCGCCACCACAACCGGCTAATTTTTGTTTTTTTTTGTTTCGTTTTGTTTTGTTTTGTTTTCTGAGACGGAGTCTTGCTCTGTTGCCCAGGCTAGAGTGCAGTGGCACGATCTCGGCTCACTGCAACCTCTGTCTCCCGGTGCAAGCAATTCTCCTGCCTCAGACTCCCGAGTAGCTGGGACTACAGGCATGTGCCACCACGCCCAGCTAATTTTTTTGTATATTTAGTAGAGATGGGGTTTCACCATATTGACCAGACTAGTTTCCAACTCCGGACATCAAGTGATCCATCCACCTCATCCTCCCAAAGTGCTGGGATTTCAGACGTGAGCCACCGCGGCAGGCCCTGAATGTTACTTTGGAAAAGTTGAATAAATTTTAATTTCATCAAAACCTCTAAGTAAATGAGCACATTAACTGTTAAGAATGTGGAAGAGATGGTTCCCTTCAATGACTATCGGCCTGCACTAAAATCAAACAATTAATGAATAGAGACAGAGGCACAAGAAGAAAAGGGAAAAAGATTACTGAAACTGCAAACAATAAAATAAATTCCAAACCGGGCACAGTAGCACCAGCCTGTAGTCCCAGCTACCTGGGAGGCTGAGGTACTAAGACTTGAGCCCAGGAGTTCCAAGCTGCAGTTCACTACGACTATCCCCTGCACTTCAGCCCGGCCAACACACTGAGACCCTCGTCCCTAAAAAACTGCCTCACTGCTGCTACCTTTTTAATTTACTTCGCTATTAACACAGAAACTAAAAGGTAGTGTCAATTTTATCACGGACATTCTTCTAATCAATAAAGGTGGCGATCTATATTGTAAAACGGAAAACATGTATCTCATCTTTTAAATCTCTATTATATACAAAAAAAAAACTACAGCATGCCTACTTCAGAAGTGGGCAAGATACGACATTACAAATTAAACTGCGTAACATCTTCCAATAAAAACCGATGAAAACAATCTTACATGATAATCAATTATCAGCTTTCAAAACTGTTTATTACACTAAATATGCCTTTGTATGAAAGTCAATAATTAAACTCTCTAATATCTTGAGAGAAAATATTCCAGGTTTCCGTGCAAGAAGAAATATCATGTAATCAAGAGAACAGACTGGCTGGAGTAATAATCTCCACATCATTATTTCATTAAAATTCAACATTTTTAGTTCAAGACATACGAAAACCTTTTTGAAAAGAGTATATATAACGGAATTATTTGGGAAGTCAGAAAAGCAATTGTTAGAAACAGAATTAAGAAATTCCAGACTAAAGAAAAGTGATTTGAATCCAAATACCTCGCCTAAAATTACAAATATCTTTTATTAACTGCACTGCCAATGTTTTGCCTATTTTGGAGGGGGCAGAGATTATTTTAAATAAACTGAAATAAATTTATGCCACAGGGACCAAAGTCTTGCCACTATACTGAAAATAGTTTTACTCTAACAATCCTTTAATGAAAATGTAATGTACAGCGAATTAAGCATGAAATTTCAGATGACACACGCATGCCTTATGCCTAATGACAATTTGGTCTTTAGGCACAAAACATGTGCGTGTCATCTGAAATTTCAATTTTAAGCTGAAATTTGAAATTGACACTTCAAACAGTCATGGCAGAGCTATGACTACTTGTTTCAAAAACAATATTACTACATTAACATTACCGCCAGGCGGTCCCAAATGACGACAAGCACTTTTTAATCATAATCTGCGCCACAGAACAAAGAGGGCGACATGAATCCATGAACGACAGTGCGGCAGTCTGAGGTCGCCGGGAAAGAGATGACAACAGAGTGGGTACCCCACAGAAGGAAAGGAGCAAAGACCTTTGTAGAGATGGCTTAGGCAGATACAAACAAAACCATGAAAAGGGGCCTGAAAGAATGGGAGACAGCGCTCACCAAGCAGGGGTGGGGGAGGGGTACTATTCTAGTTCTCTTCCTCAATTTGGGTCATCTTCCCATCGCCACTACACCTTACGGCCAGTGATCAGTTCTTCGCAAGACTCAAAGCTCTGAAGCGAACTCTGAGTGACGAGAGGAGACGAGAAGAAAACGGGGACAGGGAGGGCACTCCCTGTTGGGTGGGGCACCACATTCCCGCCGGGCTCACCCAACCCCGGCTCGGGTCGCCTTCTCTTTAGTCTCTCCCACTACCACCCAGAGGCCGCAAAAAGCACCTTACCCAGCTCGCCATGGAGCACAGCCCCAGGACGCTCCCCATCTCCACAACGTCACAAGAGCAGCGGATACAGACAAGATGGAGACAGCGCCTTTCTCGCCTTTCCGAGATTATTTACTATTTGCGAGACACTTCCGGCACAGAGCTCAACCCGCCCCTCAGCCTCGCGTCACTTCCTTCCAGGCCAGGGTGGGATAAGACACGGAGCGGGCAGCGCTGAGATTGCGCGTGCGCGTCACTAGATGGCCCGGCTGTCCTCCTTCCTGGAAAATTTCCGAAGGACTGCTGGCTGGAAACTTAAGGCTAGTGTGGATCTGACGGTAGTTTGCCAAATTAAGAAAACGGTGTGAGCAAAACCAACCTTTACCTACCATTAACTTGAATTTGGGCATTAGTACACAACAGAGCTGAGGTGGTGGTTGACGTTTTGCCCTCCTTCATCTGAGGAGCCTCTCTGCTTTTTAGGGGATTTCTTCCTCTTTCTTAGTGTTTGTCCGTCCTAACTCCACTTATTTTCTATTTTTCCCACTTTTGCATCCTGTTTTGCGCTTATGTTCACAACGTATTCCTGCAGCCCGCTGCCTGGAACAAGTTTTATTGGGATATTTATCATTCATCTATGTGCTTCAGTTTCTCTGTATCATTTCTGTTTGCTATTGACTTATATTTTAATTTCTTGTGCTGTTAAGATGTTACAAAAAATTTGCACATTAAAATTATTTTTAATTAGATAAGACATACTAATTATCAAACTCATACATTGGTTTCGAATGTCATGAGCTGTTGAGGCATGTGGAACCCTTGCGTATTAGGTGATGATGCACATCTGCAGGGAATGCATTCCTATAAAAGTTCCAGGTTTTTTTAGAGTTATTGGTTTTTGAAAATATTCTGGGAAACAGCTCAAACTTGAAATAGTCATTCCTATAACTAATAATAAGAAAGTGATGTAAAATCTACAAAAATGGCATGGGTCGAGGTGGGGTAAACACCTAAGAATCTGGAAGAATGTCAGAATCCCTACTCCTAATTATTGTAACCACTAAGGGACAATCTTGCCTTATTCTTCTTTGCCTTATCAGTGGTTTTGTAGACCACTCTTAAAGTATTATAATAGAGCATCCATAAGGTTTAAAGAATTGTGGAAATGCCTGTAATCCCAGAACTTTGGGAGGCCAAGGTGGGCGGGTCACAAGGTCAGGAGTTCAAGACCAGCCTGGCCAGCATGGTGAAACCCCATGTCTACTAAAACTACAAAAAATTAGCCGGGCATGGTGGCACGCGCGTGTGATCCCATCTACTCAGGAGGCGAGGCAGGACAATTGCTTGAACCCGGGAGGCAGAGGTTGAGTTGCAGTGAGCCGAGATTGGTCCACTGCCCTCCAGCCTGGGCCACAGAGTGAGACTCTGTCTCAAAAAAAAAAAAAAAAATTTGTGGAAATGGATATTACAAACCTAACAATATTTTTAATTATGCTAAACTTAAAGTAATATGTTATTTATGGGAGAAAAGAATCCTATTATCTCAAGTCCTTAAACTTTTCAAAGTATCAGAGAAGGAGACAAAAAAGACTTATATGCAAGTAACTTTAAGGTTGAATATGTTGATTAGACAAATGGAGAATGGGTCTTTTAAAATTTAAATTAGTGCAGGTTCTTGTCTCTTGCTACGTTCAAGAGGGTTTCTGAGATATTCGTAAGTTCTTGCACTATTCAATAGAGTTTTTTCACCTGAGATATCCAGAGTTAAATACAAAAGTCCTTGTTAATCTTTCTGGAAAGTAACACTTGGCCTTGAAATACATTAAAAAAAAAATTACTTTTATTTAACCTGTAGGCTATGTGGAGTGGAATTTGCTCACTTAAGTTGTTATATATACAACATTAATTAGACACGACAGTATATAAATTATAAACTGTTTTATTCATTAGAAAAGTCTTCGACATCAGTCTTGTTTTACTCTTTGCCAACTATGAATGAAAATTGAAATGATGACTTTTTCAAATATCAACCCAAACACAGCTCAAAGCAGTTTTCTCAATGTATACCAGCTATTAGTAGGAGCACCCATTTCTCCAGGCGACTTCCTGTAGCACACATATAACATACAATGCCAAAATACAAATTAGTCTAAGTAAGTACATTAGTAAAAAACATTCTATCTAGCCAAGCATGGTGGCTCACACCTGTAATCTCAGCACGTTGGGAGGCCGAGGCAGGCAGATCACCTGAGGTCAGGAGTTCCAGACCAGCCTGGCCAACGTGGCGAAAACCTGTTCCTACTAAAAATACAAAATTAGCAAGGCACGGTGGCACACCTCTGTAATCCCAACTACTTGGGAGACTGAGGCTGGAGAATCGCTTGAACCCAGGAGGCAGAGGTTGCGGTGAGCTGAGATCGTGCCACTGCATTCCGGCCTAGGCAACAAGAGCAAAACTCTGTCTCAAAACAAACAAACAAACAAAAAAAGCCATGCTATCTAATAACTCAGTTCTCTGACTTGATTAAGGGCTAGTATGCCAAAAAAACCCCAAAAAAATTGGAATGCTGATTTTTTTTTGAGAATGTTACTAAGTAGACATGCTGGAAAAAGTTTTCAGATAAGCTTGGATAGTACTGCCTGCTATATTCTCTTGTGACTGATGTTGCATATTAGCATGTTGAATTCCTTCACTCCTAATGTTTTCTAAACTTGACCTTAAAAAATCTTTTTTTTTTCTGATGAAACATGTATTAATATGCATTGTAGTTATTCTGTGAAATATAGTTTAAGAAATACTGATGGAGGGAAGGATGGACTTCATAGCCTTCTGGTAGCCTTCCTAGAATATCTTTTCTCATGATTAAACCTTTGTTCCATATGTGGCATCAGAGAGCTGAAGGTTATGTTCTCTGTCAAGAATCAGAGCATGAATGCTCTGTGTTATCAATTAAGGATAAGACATAAACTTTAACATTCAAATAAATGGTATGTAAAATTAATAGTCTCTTAAGGAAATTCAAGAGAAAGACCAAAATACTTGTCAGAATAGACATGCACAGAAATGGGCTGGGAGAACTATGGAGTACTATAGTCAGGCTTAAGGTTTTCCTTAGAAGATAGTCCAGGTTCATTCTCACATATGGGTAAATAAAGAATCTCCCAGATAAACTATAGTTGTGATTATTGTACCCTGAGAAAAATGTAAAGCAGGATTACCAAGCTTATCCTAGTCATAGTAAAAATTTCAATAATGGATTCACAAAAATCAATATTAACTAATGTAATTTCAGAATGATTTAGGTACAAAATTTAGGTTTATGTAAGTTACTCTCAAATATAGATTTGTCAATTATCAGTCATTTCGGTTTGTTGTTATTGTTGTGAGACGTAGGCTTGCTCTATTGCCCAGGCTTGAGTTCAGTGGCCTGATCTCGGCTCACTGCAACCTCCACCTCCCAAGTTCCAGCGATTATCCTGCAACCTCTGTCTGGAGTGCAGTGGCCTGATCTTAGCTCACTGCAGCCTCAGCCTCCTGACTAGCTGGGATTTCAGGCACGTGCCAAAATGCCTGGCGCATTCAATTTTTGAGAGAATACTAAAAATAATAATTTTATTTTCAGAATTCACCAGCATGGTAATAAAACCACATCTTCAGCATAAAGGAAAATAAATGTCTATAACTTTTCACCACCTCTTGTAATTCCTGTTGAAATCCACAAGGTTATGCTGGGTGCAGTGACTCACATCTTAATTCCAACACTCCAGAGACTGAAGCAGGAGGATAGCTTGATCACAGGAGTTAGAGACCAACCTAGGCAACATAGTGAGACTTCATCTCTATAAAAGTTAAAATAGGCCAGGCGTCGTGGCTCACGCCTGTAATCCCAGCACTTTGGGAGCCCGAGATGGGTGGATCACCTGAGGTCAAGAGTTTGCGAACAGCCTGGCCAACACTGTGAAACGCCATCTCTACTAAAAATACAAAAATTAGCTGGACGTGGTGGCTTGCGCCTGTAGTTCCAGCTACTCAGGAGGCTGAGGCAGGAGAATCGCTCGAACCTGGGAGGCAGAGGTTGCAGTAAGCCGAGATCGCGCCACTGCTCTCCAGCCTTGGTAACAGAGTGAGACTCTGTCTTAGAAAAATAAAAAAAAAAAGTAAAAGTAAATAATCAATCCATAAGGATATGGTTTAGAATCCTGTATATCACATTAAAAATTCCCAGTGTAACCTAGAATCAGTGTGTCTCCATCAAGGTTGACTAAAATTAGACTCATCTTTGGTCCCATAATCCTTCCTGCCTTTACACAAATCTCTGTATAAACTTTAATTTTTATCCTAATAAATGATCTATATCTCTGAAATATTGTGAAAGTGTAACAGATTTTAAGGAAAAATAATCAGGTCATATTTTTCTGGAAATTAGAAATTATACTGCTTAGTTCTCTTGTCCTTAGTACATCAACACTAAATGTAATGAGGACTGAAACATCTTGGCCCTCCACAATAGTTAAAGGATGAATAAAATTTTTGCATAGTTTGTTATATAATCCAAGGAGAACAAAAATATAAAAAGTATTTTACGGCTTTCACCCTAAATTAATTATATCTTAAATGTAAACATGTTTAAGTATTTCACCAGATATTCTGAAAGGGTAAGCCAAAAATAGATTAGGACACAGTAACCCATAGGGGTCAGTATAAACTTAGAATTGGAAGAGACCAAATTCTGATTAAAGACATGCTTTTATTTGTTAAGACAGACATTGATACTTTTGGAAAATAACTCAAAAACTAAGATATAGTGTCAAATGTATAAAAACTCTCTTCAGTTATGGTCTTAATGTTAAAATAGCAAGTGAACTTTCTTTCCACACTGATTTTCTTCTTTTGCTGAAATCTAAGTCTGTAATTCCACAACTAGGAGATATGTTTATACCAGTGAAATAGATGTCTACAAAAATATGTTTATTTCAGTCAGAACATATATAAATTCAGGAAAAAGGGAAATATTCACTGTGTAAATAATAAAGTGGATAGCGAATTCAAATATGTGTCTAATGTTTAATGTACTGTTTTATAATCATTGAGAAGGGAATGACTTCTTGAAAAATTGTTAATGGCATTTCTAAAACATTTCACTTCTCAAAGGCAGATGTATTGACCTTGATAAAATATAATGAAAGTATATACTGAAGAAATTCTTTACATTCATTCACCCGAAACGTTATTTATTGTGCTACAGAAAGAAATCAACTACTTCTATTTGGTACTCATCAGATTTTTGAGTTCTTATTAAATGTGTTATTAAGGCAATGTCTAAATCAGCACCTTCCAATAGAAATGAAATGTGAGTCACATTTGTAATTTAAAATTTTTGTAGCTGTATTAAAAGAAACAGATGAAATTAATTTTAAAGATGCATTTAATTACACTCAGTATATCCAAAATATTTCAACAACATTAATATAAAAATTATTAATGGGATGTTGTACATTATTTTTCATACTAAGTCTTCAGAATCTGGTTGTGTTATATAATTAAGAGCACATCTCCATTTGGACCAGCACATTTCAAATGCAGGTCTATAAGCTGAAGGAGAAAGTTGAGGCAATTATCCAAGTGATACAAGCTAAACAAGCAAGCAATCATATTTTTCTCTGTATAAGTTATTTAGATATTTTAGATAAAGTGATTTTAACGTTGTGCATTTGCTTTAGGTATTGAACCTAAATTGATTTCTTCTATAAAAATCAAATAGGAGAGATTTGTAAGAAGGATAAATGTCATATTCTGATAATCATTTAGGCTATCAAAGTACTATACTATATGTATGAAATTTGCCAGATTTGACTTTATTTTCCAATAATCCAAATACTCCATGATGTTGTTTTAGCCAATTTATCCTGATTTCTTTTTTATTTACCCAAGTTTCTATGGCCTTAGCTGCTTTCTTTTCTCCAGAATTAATTGTGAAAATAGAATGATATCCAGAGGCCCTGACATTTTAAGTGGCCTGATCTCAAGTGACTTCAGACAGTGTTTTTATTCTTACCCAATTCTCTACACCTCACTCCACTGACTGTATTGTCCATTACTGCATATAACACTTGGCAAATTCATACCTAAAGCTCTTTCCGCTGAATGATCAAGAACTTCGGGTACTTTTTCCTTACAGTTTTTACTCCATTGAAGATTTGCTTTAACTTCAAAAGCGATTACAACAAAGTATGGACACCCCTTCAGAGCCAACCTGGTAAGTCACTGGTAAGGTCTTAATTTCTCCATAAAGCTTCCTAATATTTTCTGGTATTAAGGTCTTCATATTCCGTAACCCGCTTTGCATCACCTGCAGAAATCCTAGACTTAGCTGTTTGGTAGAATGTGGCTGTATCATTTGTTGTATTATTTTTCCCAGGCTCTCATTCAGAGTCCTGTTATAGCGAAGGCTGGCTTCCACTAGTTTCCATTCTTGCTCATGGGTCTGTCCCTTTTCTCCAGAAAAGTCCTATCTTTTTAAAGATGTAATGTCAGATGAAGCTTATGTATGAACCAACCACAGGCCATTTTTTTTTATCGACATCTCCTGAAGGAAATTTTCTGCCTCAGTTGGCCTGACTTGTATTTTGCAGCAGAATCCAGTCTTTCTAGGAATCCTCCAGTTTTTAAAATCATCTCAGTGGTTGTAGAGCTGAGAGCAGAATTCTCTCTACCTATTTTCTCTGCCATGGAGAGAGCACTCCCAGCATCATTTATACAAATGCTAGGCACATTTCCACTTCTCCGCAGTACTCATCCAGCAGTTTAGATGCCATGGGAGGGTACTCCATAGTTCAATTCTATGGTATGCTTTGATATGGGCATGGCTGGACACTGCACATTGTTCAGCAATTCCAAATGGTAGTCTTTAGTAAGAGGAAAAACATAATTAGAGTCACTTAACATAATATGTGGCAGGGGGAATTATGCTTTAAGAAGTAGCTTTCACATACAAATGGAGTCCAAAATAATGAACTTTCCCATTGGATCTTTATACGAATACAACCATGGATTAAATGCCAATAGGAGAAAGTGTTTTAGAGACATGCTTAAAATCTAGAGTAAGAAAAGACAAAAAACAAACAAACAAAAAAAAACAAAAAAACTCCTGCAGCTAGCTCAGTGTCTACCCAAACAGCCACCCAGTTTTGTACTTGAAACCCAGGGCCCTGGTGGCATAGGCACTGGAGGGAATCTCCTGGTCCATGGGTTGTGAAGACCATGAGAAAAGCATAGTATCTGGGCTGGAATGCACCATTCTTCTTCACTTTATCTGAAATATCTAAATAACTTATACAAAGAAAAATATGATTGCTTGCTTGTTTAGCTTGTATCACCTGGATAATTTTCTCAACTTTCTCCTTCAGCTTATAGACCTGCATTGTCCAATACAGGGACTATTGGACATTTGAAATGTGCTGGTCCAAATGGAGATGTGCTCTTAATTATATAACAAAACCAGAATCTGAAAACTTAATATGAAAAATAATGTAAAACATCCCATTAAATAATGCTTCATGTACCTTTTTCTATTCAAGTTATTTACTTAATCCAAAGGGAATAAATTTTTTGAAAATGTAGTAATAGTGATCCTAGAAAAATGTCATGTTCTATTTATATGCCCAGAGTATTTACTCCATTTCTATCTCTTCCCTTTGATCTATTTGATGGCTATGCCTTATATATCTAAGAATTTTTTTCAAACAATTTTTAGTAGGTTGTAGTGTTCATCTCTATTTCTTACGGTACAGATATTTTTCTGTTAAATGTAAAGGTTACTCTCTAAAGCTTAGTAGGCACGCTTTCATTTTCACAGTGATACTAAAATCCACATCGTTACTAATCATAGACATGCATGTGTGTTGATTGTAAAGTGATATTGTACATACCACAAAATCTGACGTATAAAAATAATCTTTTGGTGTTCTTTTTAAAGAACTTAATATAGAAATATCATAAAATGAAGTTAAATTGAGTAAATCTTAAGACACCACTTAGTCAAACTCCTTGCATCAAATCAAGCCCATGATTATGTAAGTGTATAGAAAATCCCACAAAAAATTTAAAAAAGCTTTTCAGTGGAAAACCTGACAGACACCTTATCCAAAAGATCAAAGTTTTAACATCACCAGTAATAGAACAAATAGGTTTCATGTGTCTTCTAATGTAATACACTGAGGAGTGAGCACTATCACTCCTGAGACATTTTTGCCAAAAACCTATAAATGGGAATAAATCATGAAGAAACATCAGACAAACCCAAATTAAAGGACATTATGCAACATAAATGGCTTGTACTTTTCAAAATATCTAGATCATGAAAGAAATGGACTAAGAAACTGCCCAGATTAAAGGAGACCAGAGACTTGACAACTAAATGCCACATGTAATCATGGATTAGATACTGGAGCAGAAATAACAATGATAATAAATAATTACTGTTATTGCTGTAAAGAACATTATTTAGACAATTAGCAAAATTTGAATGGGGCTTGTGAATTACAAAGCAGTATCATATCAAAACTGATTTTCTGTTTTTGATTGTTATAATGTGGTTATGTAGAAAAGTGTTGTATTTTTGGAAATGTACATTGAAGTATATAGGAGTAAATAGGATCATGTTGAAAATTTTTTCTCAAATGGTTTACAAAACATGTTTTGTATGTGTGTACATACACATTTTGTGTGTGTGTGTGTGTGTTCATACACATACACTGTTTTGTATGTGTGTACATACACACACATTGTGTAAACAAGATAAAATTTTAATATTTGGTGAATAAAGGTGAAAGATACATAGAAAATTTTTGTATAGCGTTTGCAACTTTTCTGAAGTCTGAAATTAGTTCAATTTTTTTTTAATATTGCTTTGGCTTCCTATTTTACCTGTAGTTAACTGTGTCAAAAATATGCTTACTATGTTATCAACACCCAGGGTTTTTGTAATCTCACAATATTGAAATCAAAAGACATCACAGAACACAGCAGCAAAGGTAAGTTTAATTTTATTCCAGCTTGTACACAAGGGAGCTAGCACTGAGAAAGAAAAAAGGAGTTGGCTGTTGCCTGAGGGTAGTGTGTGGGTTAATTTTATAGACTCTTTTCATAGGGAAAGGTTATATTAGGGCACATATAGGACAGTTTTCTCTAGTGCTTGCACAGTAGCTCAACATACTTCTCCATACATTGCATGTAACATTAGCATTTAAAATCTCCACCCTTGGGTATGAATTATTTTAGCATTAAAATGAGGAAGAGGTAACTTTAGGTTTTTTTTTTTTTAAGACGGAATCTTTTTCTGTCACCCAAGCTGGAGTGGAGTGGTATGATCTTGGCTTACTGCAACCTCCACTTCCCGGGTTCCCGGGTTCAAGCAATTCTCCTGTCTCACCCTCCTGAGTAGCTGGGATTATAGGCATGTGCCACCACACCCGGCTAATTAGAGACGGGGGTTTCACCAAGTTGGTCAGGCTGGTCTCGAACTCCTGACCTCATGATCTGCCTGCCTCGGTCTCCCAACGTGCTGGGATTACAGGCGTGAGCCACTACGCCAGGCCACTTTAGGTTGGATTTTAAGTCCAACTGCACATGCAAGGCTCTGGGGAAATCCCTAGCCCCCTGAAATAGGAGCTTGCTGTTAATAGTTTCTTGGATCTCTTGTCACTGATTGGCTGAAAGTTAAATGAGCTAGTACTTGAGTGAGGGGCTTTATCGTTTCCTTTAGACCATCTTAAAATAGGGAATCAACCAGCCTGCTTGTCTTAATCATATAAATTTATTTAAAATTATCTTAATAAACCAGAACCTGGAGACTATTTTTTAAAAGAATGATTTGTTGAAGTATTAAATTTTTAGTAAGTTATCTCTTTTTCATGTGTAGCTTCCTTACTTTTAATTTTAAACCAGACAAAAAGTTTCAGTATACAGCATAAAGAACATTTGTCTAAACTTTGATGGAAGTAATTTAAACAACTATAAATACATTAATTTATATCAATTTTTGATTATGGGAGAGCAATAATCCTTAATTACAAGTTGAAACATCCCCTGAATACATTAGAATGAATGCTACTGAAAACAGAAATAATTTTTACAATTATCTGCCACATATCATAATGCCTCAGACAAATTTTGTGTATGCATATAGAAGATGAAAAATTATTTCCTAATACACTCCTAGGTTTTCTAGTTAGAGTCCTCTAAATTAAATTGACAAAAGGCAGCAAAATAAGAGAAAAAAAAACCCAAAAGTTTATTAACACATGCATTGTGCATGTAACATATACCCAGAGATGAGTAACTCAAAGGTTTGGTTAGAACTTGGACTTACATAGGATTTCAGCAAAGAAACAATTTTTAAAAGTGACAAATGTCTCTAGGAGTGGCAAATTGTGGGAAGGCAAATATATGGGAAACTAGATAAATAAAGGCTAGTTAGCAAAGTTTGTTATATACATTCCTCTGATTCTGTCTACAGGCCGTAAGGGTCTAAAGCTGTCTCTGGTAATTAAGTTTTGTCTTTCCTTGTAGAAAGCGGGGGACAACTTTGTAAATTTATGTCCTGCTTTTAGACGACAGGAGAACAGAGAACTCTTCTTGTATCATCTTGTTCTCATTTGTCTTCAGCTGAAAGTAATCCTTGTGCCAAAGTGGAAAGTTTGCTGTGGCATATTCTGCCACCCTAGCATAGCTAGGATAGAACCCATCTGTACACAAAGGTCTTTGAGGGCAGAGGCCAGATTAATTTGTAGAGATTTACTGCCATCACCTAGCCTAGTGCTTGACATGGAGAAGGGGCTTGGTAAACAATTGAATGAATTAATGCATTTGCTTGTGCCTTGCATATTTTCCACACAACATTCTTGCAGTATATAAAGAAAAAAAAAAAAACACTCTTGCAGTAAATATACTCATATACTTTTAAATACTATTCTAAGGTCAAAAACACCTTTATCAAATATGTAAAAGCTAATGTGAAGAAAATTACATGAACACCAACCACATTGTATAAAATAATTTCATATGCTTGGTTTATGTACTTGTTTTGAAAAGTGGAATTTTGCCTTAGAAATCAGAGACCACTGTACATCTTAACTGAGAATCATTTTCATTAACTCTTGGAACAGGAGCAATTGCAAGGAATAAATATAACTTAATTTTTGGAAGATGTATTCTGTGAAGAACGGATACAGTAAGAGGAGTTATTTATGCTTATAAAAAGAAGAATCCTGAAATAAAAAGGGACAGTCCCAAAGTGAAGGGATCATTTTCAGTAGATTTGCTACTTTCCTTATCAGAAATTCACAGCACACATTACTTTTTTAAGACTTTGACAAATACTGCCATAAATAAAATCATTTAATATTGTTTAATACAATGTTTCTTAAATGTATAGGATCTCAAACCCTGAAACAAAACAACATATCACATCCCATGGATCATCATTTAGGAAAACACTATTAATGTTTTAAAGCAAACTAAATATGGCCTGAGAAGGACTCCGTACTTTTTGTATTTGAGTCCTTGTGCATGAACTGCAACCTAACTTAATAGGTAGACAAGATTGAAAACCTAATTTAGGAGTATGCGCCAGAAACAATAGATGAGTCTTGGCCAAACCTAGCAGCTGAACTTCAACCACTCATACACTGCCTAGTGTTCAAACTGTCTTCAAATAAGGCAAATGCTGAGCTGTAATCAATCTGGTTGTTTCTGTACCTCACTTCCAATTTCTGTACTTCACTTCCCTTTTTTTGGCCTATAAATCTTCTTCCACCATGTGGCTGCTCTAGAGTCTCTGAATCTGCGGTAATTCTGGGGGCTGCCTGATTTGTGAATCGTGCATTGCGCAATTAAACTCCTTTAAATTTAATTCAGCTGAAGTTTTTCTTTTAACAAATTTTTTTTTTTTTTTTCTGGAATGTGGTAGCTAGGTGGTCTATATTTTTACTGAGAATAAAATGAGATAAAATCGAAAAACTGAATTAATCTATTACATGAGATATAAATAAGATGCCTAAGTATTTGTACTTTGAAATTATTTCCCAAAGGAAAATTAAAATCTCACTGAAAATAGAAGAGCTAGTCATCTATAAAGTATTTATTTTGAAGGTTTAGGTTAAAATATTAGAACAAACTAATGTATCAAAGTAGCATCATTCTTTTGATAAAAGATAGATGTATCAGCAGTAAAAACAGCATTAAATTTTCTGGAATAATTAGGCCTCAAGATAACATCAGTCGTGTGTGACTGGAATACAGAAATCAGGATCTAAGGGAAGTACACATGGCAAACAAAAAATCATATGTAGTTACAAAGGAGAGTGGTTAACACATTTCCAATTCGAAGCTAGAAGAGAGTAGAATCTAGTAAGGATGGCTAGTTTAATAGCAGAGCCATCAAAGGCAGTGTTAAAGGCGAAGATGAAGTTCGGGCTAATGACTTGAAGGATGGTGGCAGAAATCATTAGCAGTTGAGTGCCTGAGGATTGAATGTTGCATCTGTTGAAGTCTTTATCATGAATTAGCGATGACTATGCTTTGGTAGCATGGTTGGATTCACTGTAACTTTTGGATTATTGCTCTACATCTTGCCTTTTGTCTTTTTGCATGGAAGTAATTGTCACCAAAAATTGTCTCTCTTCTATTTTTTTCCCCAAATTTACAACATATGTCTTTTCTTAGGAGAAATTTCTGGTGCCAAATGATTGTTTCTTTCTAGAAATAACATATTCATAGACACATACACAAATGTGGCTAATTCATCACATAATATACCCATATAACAAACCTCCATATTACCGTCCCGACTCTAAAATAAAAATAAAAACAATTGTAGCTGATAAATTGAATAGCCAAACTCAAAAATAAACTTTATAAAATCCACCACTGTCCCTATTAAAGAAGCCAGCTTCTTTCTGCAGAAATTGAAGAAGTCTTGAGTCCAGTTTCATCATTTCTGATTTAAGAAAACAAAAGTTCCTCCAGTCATTTTATTTCCCCTAAACCAGTCTCAATTCAATTATTGTTATCTTTCTTTCAGAGTAATAAGTATGGCATTTAAAAATATTATGCAATTATTTGTTCTCTTGGTTTCTTTTTTGAGGATTCCAACCATAGTTGCTTGATCCACCCTCTTCTTCTGTATTTATTATTTCATGTGTAATGCATTTTAAGCTTATTTCTGTTGTACTTTTTCATTTTTAAGTTTCATCCTCTATGTTCCAATAGTATCTCACTTCTATTAGGTTCCTTCTAATTTCATTTCTCATATTAGTTTTTTTTGTGTATTTTTTTTTCTTTTTCTATTTCTTGTTTCTTTTTAGTTTTCCTACTAATGTTGTGTATCTCCTTTTATTGCCTCACCATTTCTTCCTCAATTTCTAACATTTCTGGTTTATGGTATTCTAGTTATAGAAAATTGTATTAAGTTTTTAATTTTATGGCAGAGTATTTGATCACAGTTTTAATCTGCACCATGACATTTTTCATGTAATTTTACTTTTGCTTTCTAAAAGTACTGTGTTTTAAAATGCCTTAGTTGAAATACTCTGGATTTGCAGAAAAATTGTAATAGTATGAAGAATTCCATCTATCCTTTATCCCAATCCCCTAAATGTTAACCTTTTGCCACATTTACTGTCTGTCTGTCTATCTATCTATCTATCTATCTATCTATCTATCTATCTATCTATGTAACTACTATTTTTCTGAATCATTTAAAAATAAGTTGTAGACATGATGCTGTATTTCATGTAACTACATAAATATGTATTTCTTCAAATGTAAAAGCATTTTACTGCATAACCACAATGTACCAAAATCAGAAAATTAATAGGTAAAATGCTTCTTTCTATACATTGAGCATATTCACATTTTTGCCAGTTGTCCCAGTGATATATTTTATAACAAACAAATAAATAAATAGTTTATCTGGTCCAGGGTCCAATGGAGGATTACATGTTGCATTTAGTTGTCATGTCTCTTGATTACCTGGCAATGTAGAACTCATACTCAGTCTTTTCTTTCATGACCTTGTTATATTTTTGAAGAATGAAAGTTAGTTAAATTGTATCATACCTCTTATGTTTAGATTCATCTGATGTTTCTTTGTGATTAGATTCAGCTAGTTAGGTTCTGAATATTCATGTTTGTGTTCACCCCCAAAATTCATACATTGAAACCTAATCACCAGTGTGATAGTATTAGAAGGTGGGGCCTTTTGGGAGGTGATGAGATTGTTAGGGGAGAGCCCTCATGATTGGGATTTATGCTCTTATAAAGGAGACTCCAGAGAGCTAACTAGCTCTTCTACCATGTGAAGACACAGCAAGAAGGTGTTGTTTTGTTGTGTTTTGAGACAGGCCCAGCTGTAGCATCAGCTGACTCCGTGGGGAAGCTCTGGCACTAGGATGACCCTTTAATCTTCACTGGAAGCAGACCCTCACCAGACACCAAATCTGTTAACACCTTGATCATAGACTTCCCAACCTCCAGAAATGTGAGAAACAAATTTCTGTTGTTTATACACTACCCAGTTTAAGGTTTTTGGTTATAGCAGCCTGAATGAGGTAAGTCACAGCTTAGGCATTGGGGATCGGAATATGAGAGAAGCGATGCTGTGTTCTTCTCATTGTATTAATACTGTATCAGTAAACATGTGGTGCTGATTTGTCCCATTACTGATGATAACACATTTATCACTCATTTAAAGTGACATCTTCCAGGTTTCTCAATTGTAAAGTTTCTGTTTCTCTCTGGAGGGAGATGTTTTTAGACTGTAAATATCCTGTTCCTCAATAATTACCCATTCATTTCAGCATCCATCCATGGTTTTTACCTCAATATGTTCTTCTTATAATGACTGCCAAATTGTAGTTTTCTCATTTCATCATTCTTTCTACATTTAATTTGTATTTGGCTAGAAGTAATAGCTTTTTCTCTCATATATATATATATATATATATAAATGTACACATACAAACAAAAAATACACATCTACTTGTAGATTTCTGTTTATTTAATGAGTTTATAATCTATTGTCATAATAATTATTTATCTTGTTGCTCTATTTGCTACATATTTGGCAAATGGGGAAACCTCCCACCTAGAAGCTGAATCCTGTCTTTTACTTTTTCCCATCATATTCTTTTGTTTAAACTCTTTCTTCTTCTCTGGCACAAGATCTTCCAGGGTCTCACTGTGTTGCCTAGGCTGGAGTACAGTGGTGCCATCATGGTTCACTGCAGCCTCTCCCTCCCTGGGCTTAGGTGATTTTCCTGCCTTAGCCTCTCAAGTAGTTGGGACAACAGGCACACCATTATGGCCAACTAATTTTTGTATTTTTTTGTAGAAATGGAGTTTTGCCATGTTGCCCAGGCTGTTCTCAAATCAGTTTATATTATTCTTTCATTTCTTCAAGGAACTCTTGTTCTACATTAGAGAAGAATGATACTTAGAAACCAACATTCGAACACTACGTCTGCTCACTGCTCCTGGGATTAATTGCTTCTAGGCTTTCCCACCAGGCAGAGGTAGAAAATGTCTGCCACTCACATACGCAAACATTTGTATCTACTTCTATAACTATCTGTCTAAGAAATTGTGCATTCCCAGTGATAACTGTAATTGAAACTTAATACCACAGTGATTATTCTGGTCATTGACTTTTCATATTTGTAACTCCTTTATCCAATAATGAGAAACTTGGTTCTCATTATTCTCACTTTATTTACTTATTTGCTTTTTCTTCCTGTATGTAATCAAACTCCTGACCCAGAAAGTTGCCTTCTAGGCCCTGCCCACCTCAACAGCCCCAATAGTTTCTTTGTCCTATAGTTTCTACTTATGTTAGCTGCCTCAAAGGACAGTAGAAGGAATTAATTGATTTTTCAAAAGAAGGGGGTAAAGGAAGAGACTTTTAAAAATAGTATTTTATTTGTTAGTATTATTATTATTTTTGAGACAAGTCTCACTCTGTTGCCCAGGCTGTAGTGCAGTGGTACAGTCTTGGCTCACTTCAAACTCTGCCTCCCAGGTTCAATTTATTCTCCTGCCTCAGCCTCCTGAGTAATTGGGATTACAGGCACCTGCCACCACACCCAGCTAATTTTCGTATTTTTAATAGAAACGGGGTTTTGCCATGCTGGCCAGGCTGGCCTTGAACTAGTGACCTCAAGTGATTCACCTGCCTTAGCCTCCCAAAGTACTGTGATTATAGGCATGAACCTGGCCAAAATAGTAATTTAAAAATGGATTCTCTCCTTTTAAAATACTACTCATCATTGAATGAGTTAGGCTTTCCTGGACTGGCTATTTGTAAGAGGTTTCTTTTGGGATATGAAGCAAAGATAAAGTTTCTGGCTAACTAATTTTCATAGAGCAAAAGCTTTCTCCTTTCCTGTTACAGAGTCATGTTACTTCCTGTAAATATGGTTTTTCTGTATAGTTATTTTTATAGCCCCAGGCTATAAAAATGTAAGAGGAAAGACATGCCAACTGAAGCCATTCAGTCTTTGTACTAAGGGCCACAAAAAAAGGAATATTACTTTTTGGCTTCACAGTGTACCCACACTTTCAGGAAGTATGTTTTGCTGGTGCTTTTTGAGATCTATTTTTCAGTGGGTCCCTGCTCTTGAGATTTATCACCAGGGATTCTTGTTTTCACTGCCCTTTTTGTGTATACAAAAAAATGTCGTCCGCTTTTGATAGTGTTTGATATAAAATGGAGTCTGGGAGTTAAATATGCATCCAGGTTCTTCAAAAATAGTTTGCAAACTTATGAAAACTTCTTCTTATAGCTTTTGAATAATTTCCAAGAAAAAGGGAAAATGCTAAATTATAGAGTCATTCAAATTGTGTCTAAGTCCTCCAAAAATGGTTTTCAAACTTATAAAAGCATCTTCTTGTAGCGTTAGAATAATTTCCAGGAGAAAGAAAAAATGCTGCTTTACGGAGTTATGTTTGTAATTGTCACATGTTGGGTTCTTCAGGAAGGAGACTCTGCAATGAAGTTTAGCATGAGGATGTTTATTAAGGTGTGCCCTTATGAAAGAGATCAATACAGCTGGCAGGGAGGGAAAGAAAACAGTAGCAGTATTATGGTTTGGATGTTTACCTCTTCCAAATCTTATGTTGAAATGATTCCCAATGTTGGAGGTGGGGACTGGCGGGAGATGATTAGATCATGGAGAAACGTCTCTCATGAGTGGTTTAGAACCAGCCTCTTGGTGATGAGTGAGTTTCCTCTCAGTTAGTTCACACAGAGATCTGGTTGTTTTGCATCTGGGATCTCTCCTTTCTCTCTTTCTTGCTTCCATTCTCATCATGTGATATATTGGCTCCCCTTTGTCTTCCACCATGATTGTAAGCTTCCTGAGGCCCTCACCAGAAGATGGCAGCATTATGCTTCATGTACAGCCTGCAGAACCATAAGCCAATTCAACTTCTTTTCTTTATAAATTCCTCAGTCTCAGCTATTTCTTTATAGCTAGCAAAAATGGCCTAATACAAGTAGGCAGAGGAAGAAGTTGTGCTGTGATACAGCCCAGCTTTAGCCTCAGCTGAATCCATGGGGAAGCTCTAGAACTAGAATAACCCTTTAGAGTTGCCGGAACGGGGCTAAGATCACCCATCAGTGATAGCGGCAGTGAATCTATACTGGTCTGCAGCAACCTCAATTCTTGCCTCCTCAGAAGAAGAAATCTGAGGGGCATAAGGGAGAAGAAAAGACTGAGACAAGTTTTAGAGCAGGAGTGAGTTTATTAAAAAGCTTTAAAGCAGAAAGAAAAGTACACTAGGAAGAGGCCCAAGCAGGCCACTTGAAGGACAAGTGTGGGGTTTGACCTTTTGACTTGGGGTTTTATATCTTGACATACTTCCACGGTCTTTCATCCCTTCTCTCTTTATTCTGCACTTGGGGCTGCCTGTCCTCATGCACGGTGTGTTACTGGAGTTGTACGCATGCTCACTTGGGCATTCTTCTCTTTACCAGTGGAATGCTTCTGGAAGGTCATATACCAGTTAAACTCCCCCATTTTGCCTCTTAATGTGCATGCTTGAGCTCACTCGCCAAATTCCTGAGATCTTTCTGGGAAGCATCTATTATTATTTTAGAGAGGCAGTGTGACAACTGCCTATCACCTGATGGTCACCTGACATTCCTGTTGGAGTTGGGGGAGCCCTCTCCGCCCCTGCTCAGACCTGGCTAGCTACCTACTGTAAAAATTAGTCATTAACGTAGGCCTCTATAAGGGACACGTGGCCTTGGGCAAACCGAGTCTTCCTGAAGAAGTGAACAACTGAAAGATGTCTGCAGATAGGACTCCTCAATACTGGTGCAACAAGTTCTTCCTTGAAAATAGATTGTGGAAGCACATTTCATTGTCCTGGTGCATAGCCTTTTAATACACACTCCTCTGAGTTATAGTTTTCATCTGATTTCATAGTCGTTTATGACTCAAAAATATCAAGAATCACTGAATTATTGGGAATATTCATTATTTCTGTACCTTGTTTTTTTCTAGACAACTAAGGTTAGTCTAGAAAGATTTGAGCTGAATTTCTGAAGCTACTTGGTAAAAACAAATATGTTGGTTTTACAGTCAGCAAATTTTCTTTAGTTATATGCTAGAATTATGAGTACTGAAAACCCTTTGTAATTCCACTATATTACTAAAAGCTAAGACTCACCAACTGTGGATTAGTTATGCAGGTATCTCAAAAACACTTGGAGGTTTAATTCAGAGGCTTAAGTCACACATCTCAGTGCTTGGGAGGGTAGCCTTGAACCAAGAGAGGGCAGCAGAGGGCCACCAGAGCAGTGAGGGAGAGGTATGAGAACATGTCAGTTTGAAGGATACTGATTTTAGAGAGAGAAATACATCTATCCATGCTAAACACAGAAGGAGGAGTTACGACTTAAGAAAAATTGATTATAAACATATTGAGAGAATCTCTGGTTGTTTGTGGGTAGTGTTTATGGGACAAAAACTGAGCAGAGGAAAAGCAAGTAGAATTCAGGTTATAGGGAAGTCATGAGCTTGTTAGGGAATGTGTGCCTTTTGGATCTATGACCTGTGGTTACTTCGGGCTCTAAATCAGTGATAACATTGAGTACTTAGGGAAGAATATGGGACCAAAGATAGCCTCAGTAACGTTTCCAGATATATATTTATATTCCTTTTCTACTAATTCCTAGACCAGAGTAATGGACTTAAGAGATATTCTTTCAAAGAAAAATTTTCCCCAAAGAACCAGTTTTTGCTTTTAGTGATCAAACTACGTTTTCCTCTCAGTTGCTAGTTTGACTTATTATTTCTATAACTCTAACATTTTATGTTTTATTTTGTTGAAGCACTTGTTCTTTTTATATTTCTCTGTAAAGTAATTTAAGCATAAGAGGTTATGAGTTTGCCCCCGTATAGCTTTATTATATCGTATATATATTTTAAGAGAAAGAGTTTTTTTTTTAAATTTTTCTCAGTATTCTTTACTGGAAACTTTGGTTTCCTTTTAACCCAATAATTATTTAAGACATGTTTGCCATTTTCCACAAAGGCAGTCCTTTTTGTTTAAGCCATTGTCATTAAATTACAGTTTTATTACATTTTAGTCAGAAGATATGACTTTCATTACTTCTACTCTGGCATAAGGTTTTGTGTCCCAGTAGATATCAATTTCTCTTTCATGAATTATTGAAAAGGATATATTTTCTATTACAAGTTATCTATTGTCTCTCTAAACTCAACTTCATTAATTAGGTTAATTTTAGACTTTCCAATATTTTCCGAGTTTTTAAAAAGAAATCCCTTTCAGCTGTCAAAGCATGATGCTATGGTCTGAATAATCGTGTCCCCGCTGCAAATCTACATGTTGAAACTTAATCCCCAAAGTTACTATGTT